AATCTTATATGTTAGACGAAAATGCTTTCGTTTTATTTACACTGATTTTGATTTTGAGTTCAATTCTCGCTGCAGTCGTTAATTCATTATTTGCATTTCCTTTATAACTGTCAGCAAAAAGGACTACATCATCAACATAGATGTTATGCTCTGGACTGATTTGTACACCTCTTGAGTGGCAATTGATGCCCCATTATCCAGTCTATCACATAGTTGAATATTGTAGATGAAAGGACTAGCCGTGACGGACACCAGTTCTTATTTCGAAAGAGTCTGTCGGTTCCCCACATACACAGACCTGCGCCAGGGTATGTTGATAAAATGCCTCTATAAACCGAATGATCTTCTATGGGACACCGTCACATTCCACCAGAGTGCTGCTCTATCAATCGAATCGAAAGCAGCTGCAAAATCGATAAAGCAAGTGATGAAGGGTTGATGGTATTTGAAGCGATATTAGTACCCTTATAGCACCCTTCTTAGCCTAAATATCTGGTCAATACAACCACGTCCCGATCTGAATCCATCTTGGTTAGGACGCATTCTATCTCGTGTTGCCATGAATCTATTTAGCTGGAGGGAAGCGAAAATTTTTCCGGATGTGTCTAGACTGATTTCTCGATAATTGTCGCAGTACGTTCTGTTACCTTTCTTAGGAATTAGAAGCAGAATTGCTTTTCTCCAGTCTTCTGGTATTGTTTCCTTTTGCCGTACCTGAGAATACATTTGTTGAAGGTGAGTTATGAATGATGAGGAAAACATTTGAAAAGTTCGGTCCGAAGACCATCTTCTCAGGGAGTTTTATTGATCTTAAATTCATAGATTATAGAAATTATTTCCTGTTGGTGGTCCAGAGTTGCAAAAGTAAGGCTCGAAGGGCGAATCAGTTATATTTGGGATGGTGCATCGTGGTTAAGTTTGGCCTCAAAAAATTCTTTCCATCTTCTGATGCGATTCTTCACAGGATAGGCACTCCATTAATACCTCATATCATTTTATTTTCATTTTCCACTTTTTTAATTATAGTTGCTTTGTGAAGAAGGCGAAACAGTATCCTATCATTACCTACCTGAGCCGCCTTCTCCATTCTCAAGGTCATATCGTTCCAACAGTGATTTATTCGCTGTAATTGTAATTCTTCGAAGCACCCGTCAGGATCTCCTTATATTTGGGCTTTGGCAGCTTTTTCAGACAGTTGGATAGTTGCTTCCGACAGCCAAATAACGCCTTCCTAGTATACTAGTATACCCTAACATGAAAGTGGCTGACTTTTGTAAGCAGACTTTTGTTATATTCATTCGCCTTTCCAGAGGTGTTACTGACGTTCATTTCACTGAGGTGTAATATGCTCATTTTTTCGAAAAAGTACACCCAATGAACGTACGTACAGCATAGGTTTAAATAAATAATAATCACATGTTGAGGGCTAATAATGTTGAGGGCTTAGTGGCACGTGTAACTGATAGGAGATCGATAGAACAACAGTCAAATATTTTAGCCTTCCTGCATTCATTTAATGTTTTAAACCGTTCCTCGATTTTTTTTCCTAAAAGATTACAAAGAAACAAATTTATCAATATTAATCATTATCTAATAACAATCATAATTTCGGTGACTCTACTACGGTGACTCAACGGAACTATTTTAATGAACAGTCAACTGGAATAGAAATACAGGTGGATCCTCAATATCAGCATGATTTCACATTTAACGATAGATTCACCCTGTCTAGACAAACTTTAACCTTCATCAAAGCAACACAGTACCCGGTCAATTCTGTTCACAACGTCGCTTGCATCGTCGAAATTTGACAATACTTAGGAATGGGAGAAATCTAGACCATGGTGGCAGTGGCCAGTCATGAAATGTCATCCATCATACAATGCTACCAACTAAACAACTCCAAGAGGGGACGCCGATGATTAGTGGTTGCCTTAAGGAAAGCTGATTTTTAAAAACTCTGATTTAAAAATTGCGACGGCAGTTGGTTTTCTCATACCTGTAGCGAAAGGGCCTCGTACTTGACGTGGGGTTACGCTTATATAAGGTCGTAACGAAAATAATATGGTCATTTTATATAAGTTGGTTGTAATTTGTTAATTGTTAATTATCCAGCTTTCAACTCATTTATTCATTGATTTCGGGATATTCCCTTTTTAAAAAAATTTATTGAATCATCGGATAGGATTCGAATAAGTTTGAGGAGAAATGCGCGAGCATGCGGCATGACATGTAATAGTGGTTTTTAGCGTGATTGCTTATTGATTGGAAAGGATGATCGACAAAGCAGTAATAACATTAAGAATAACATTAAAAACACCTGTCGTCATCAAAGCTTTTGCGCAAAAAAAGCAATTATGAGTGTGACGCCGGATCTGGCGTGAACGCCTCTATTAGAATAGTCACCACGTCACTTGCGTGAATTTAAATGATGATTTGTGGGAATGGCTGTCGAATTTTTCGATGTACGGTGTCATTTTATTAGTTACCACGTTTTTTAAAGTCCTTTTTATCACATTCTTTTTCACTCACATTTCTCATATTAGATTTTTCGCATTTCTTCGCGCTTCCTCGCGTTTTCTTCTTTCTTTTTCTTCTTCTTCTAACAGCTCTCACCATTAGTGCTTAGGCTGGCTTCGCTGGTTATAAGGGTAAGACGTCTCCAAGCTGTTCGATCTCACGCCATCCCCTAGTAGTAATAGGAGCCATTTCTTTTTCCATCGTCTAAGTCCATATATGGCTGGTCCTCCTATATATTCAAAATCTTTCCTGATTCTATCAGTCCAGGTCTTGACTGGTCTTCCTCGCTTTTGGCGCCAATCATCACAGGGTTTAGCAAGTAATTTGCGAAATTTGCGTCAATTCCTGTGGTGGCCAATGGAGAACGTGCCTCAACCAGCGAAGGCGATAATATTATTAATACAGGTGGTAAATGAACGAAGATGAATGCAATCATGTGCGATTTTATCCAGATCTGTAAAATATATCTTAGATATGAGTGGTCAAAGGCTGATAGCTTCTTAATATCTTCCATTCTCATTGGTCATGTTTCGCAGCCATGGAACAAAATTGAACGAATTGCAGCTCTATGGATTCGGATTTTCGTCTTTATGGTAATTTCGCGACGGTTACAAAGTTTCATCAGCCAGAAAAATATATTTCCAGCTCTCGTTATTCGGGTTACAATTTCATCCTTTGCCTGACCATATGTGATTAGAGTGGATTCAAGGTATTTAAAGTCGAGCACTTCCTCTGCAGGCAGTGAATTGATAAAAATAGGTATTTTATCAGCATCTTCGTGTTTTCAACTTATATGTTTCCGCGTTTTTGTTCCATTTACATTCATTTGTTTTCGATCAGCGATAACGAATTATCACCTTTCATTTATGCGATTGACGATGGAAAGTGTAATTTAAAATTATTTTTTCCATCATTTTTTGGTTTTTTTAAAAATCTACTTTAAGTTGCATTTAAAATTATGTATGAGATTATTTTTTAAGGGTAAGAATATGGATCGAGCGAAGAAGAAAATTGCTTCAGCGATCGATGGCTTACGAAATTTACATAAACCGGAGTTCGAGTATGAATTCAAAGAAAAAATCACCGCCGAACATCTTCGTTTATCGATGGTTTCCTTTAGTTTTGTTTTCTTTAAATTTTTTTAGTTTTTTAGTTTTAGTTTAATTTTTCGATTTCAAATTGCATTTGTCGAACAGTTTTTTCCTGGATAAATTATAAATGATAAGTCTTAAATAATGTCGTTTTTATGGAACGAATTTCTGATTAAGGATTCCTTTTGCCTTAAAGGAAGATCAGATGCAAAGGAGGTCATGTTATTTCTGAAGTTTATATAGTAGTGTATGTATATAGAAGTTTATTTATTGTATGTTTCATTTAATTTATCGGAAATTTTATCTGTGGTTAGTAATGGAATGTGAATTATGATGTGAAGAATATTTGCCACATTACGTTAAATTGAAATTGAAATTACCATTCTTAAATTGAAATTACCATTTAAATTTCAAAGATCACCTTTAATATTTAATCACATTCATCTCTTCTGGATATACTTCGTTTATCTAACTTGTAGTTGTCGTTACATTATTTCCTTTAGTAAATTCGTAAAATGTCAAAGAGATCCGACAAGTCTTCAAAAATTGAATTTGTGTGTTCCATAGTCAGAGCCGATCCAAAGCAAAAGCTGCATAAAATCACTCGAGAAAATAGGTTATATCAACCAAATATTCTTTGGTTTCGCATAATCTTACCAAAATGCAAATGCTTCACTGATTGCCAGTCTGTTCTTCATTTTTTTCTAGACAGGGAGAACCGTTTATTGAGCGAATTTTCATTGCGATTATCTACGATAATTTTTAAAATAAATGCCAGTTGTTATCATCAAGGGAAATACCAGCAATAACATAAAGGCAGCGTTCATGGCAAAAAATTCTGTTTATTTGTGGTAGGAATTAAAGGGGTAATTTATTATGAACTGCTGAAACCTGAATTATTGCCTGCAGCTGTTACTTCTGATGTTTAGTGTGACCAATTTACTCCTCTTTAGAAATAAATTTTTTCGCATTAGCTGAAATAAAAGGCTTCAAATGAAATTTTCCGGAAAATATTTTAGTTTATTGAAAATTTTTTATTATTTGTTATTTCAATAATATATTTAATAATTTATTTATAATGAATTATATGATGAATTAAAACCTAATTTTAAAGTTGATTTCTTAATTCATAATTATATTATTTTTAAATTTATTTAATTTTCCAAATTTTTCAACGATTACGTTTTTATATTGGAGAATTTTAATTTTTTAAAGAATTTTGAATATTGTATAATTTAGGTGTAATGTTTTTTAATCCTGATTTTAATTTTTTTCTCGAAGAATTTCGATTTTTAAAATCAATTTTACTTTCGAAAAATTTAACTATTTGCTAAATCCAGTTAAGTAAAGAGTGAAAAAAGTCAATTTAAATATTACTTTTTCTTATAGGTTGCTCGACATGGGTTTCCGGATGATCCGCGTTGTATTGCATATGACCCGATACAACGATTATTAGGAATTGGGTCGGGACACGGAAGTGTTCGAGTGCTTGGTAACATTGGAGTTGATTATTTTTTAAAGCATGAATTTGATGCACCTGTCACACATTTACAGTTTCTTATCAATGAGGTAATTTTATATTTTCTTCAGGATAAAATTCATAATTATTTTATTTTTATAATCTTGGCGAATTTTGGTAATGACTCATCAAGCCATATTTGCAGGGTGCATTAGTGACAGTTTGCCGCGACGATATGGTTCATTTATGGAACTTTCGACAAAAGGTTCAGCTTTTTTATTGAAGCCATAAATTTTTGTCATCATTTGGTAATTTTGGTAATTTTAATTTATTTGGTGTTTAAGAAAATATATATTCAAAATATTATATTTTAAGGTTCCTGAAATCGTGCATAGCGTACAAATGAATAAAGAGCGAATCACTTCAATAAATGTACCATTTCAAAGTAAATGGTTACATATTGGTACTGAACGTGGTAATGTTTACTTCGTATGCGTAGCTACTTTTGCTTTGTCTACTTATGTTATCAACTGGAACAAAGCGATCGATTTGTAAGTCGATTTTTTAAATTTAGAAGTACAAATACATTGAATTATATTGTAAATTCCATGAAATCATGTTTATTTTTTTGATATCCCTTTAATTTTTTTATCAAATTTATAAGAATTTATTTATTTATCAAATTTTATTTATTTACCAAAGTATATTTCAAATTTGAGGTTTGTAAGGTTCAGAAATAGTTTGAATTATGAACTAGTTTATCAAGGTTTTCACCAGTTTTAATTATAACCTATTATAGAGCATGTAGAACACATCCTGGTGGCGTGCAATCAATCTCAACTTGTCCTGCTGATTCTACTAAAATCCTAATTTTATATGAAAAAGGAGTCGTGGTCTTATGGAACCTTGTAACAAAAGAGGTATGGTTTGAATTAAAATGAATATATTTCTTTTTTTGTACCATTTTTTGATGCAAATGTTTGTTTATAAAAGTTTAATTTTTGAATCAAAAATCTTCATAGATTAAAATAAAATTTTTTCGAGTTAATTTATTTTGAGCTTAACAGGCTGAACGGTTTCAATGCGAACGAGTTATTCGGTCATTAAGTTGGCATTATGATGGGCGTCAGTTTTTATGTGGTTGTGCTGATGGTTCACTTGTAATATGGAATACAAAAAAACCAAGCGAATTTCAACAAAAATTAACACCGCATGGTCAACGTTGTCGTTCAGTAATTCAAGTTAATAATTCAAGTTTATATTTAAACTAGTATACAATACAAAAATTCATATAAATTTACACAAAAATTGAAAAATAAAAAATTTTATTTTCGAAAACTAACAAAGGATTAAGGTAAAGAAAAGAAATAATCATTTCAGTATTTTTATATTGAGCTATTTTTTTTACTTTTGCGATTTTAATTTTCTTTCCAATTTTGTTTAAATTGCAGATTATTTTTCATTGCAGACATTGTTTTCTATTTTTCAAATTTCTATATATTTAAATTATCTTAAGGTTGATTGGATGCATTTCTCTGATGACGAGCACCTAATGATATTTAGTGGAGGTAAGTTTATTTATTTATAGTTTATTTCTTTTTTAATATTTATTTATATTTATTTATAATGCAATAATATAATACTTTTACAATGATAATTTTTTTCACATTTATGGCTTATGGGAAAACGAAGTAAAAATATCATTGCAAGGTTAAAATAATATCTTCATAAAAATAAGTAGATTTTGCTTTTATTTTACTTTTCTTATCGGGTGGGATAATCTTTGACAAAGATGAAGCACTATGATTCCAGTTTCTCTTATTTCATCAATCCAAGGGGTTTCTGTGATGATAGAGTCTTATTCTAATAGACATGGTGCCAGTGAAACCAGTGATAGTTTAGATTAATAACGAAGAAAGTAGCAGATAGACGATTTTTCTTATTATTCATGTTCATTTTAGGTATACCTCAAGATGAAGGGGCTATGCCATCCCTAACGATACTTCGGTCCTCTGCATCAGCATCAGTTCTTGAAATGGACTATCCATTGATTCAATTTGTCCCTCTTGTAATGACGCCTTTTACTAATGCACCGCAACAGCCATTTGGAATAGCTGCTTTATTGAAAAATGATTTACTTGTGATAGATTTATGTTCTCCAGGGTGAAATGTTTTTTTTTAAATTAGCAGAAAAATGCAATGCATTAAAGTCGTATTTAATCGTGTAATCTTGACTTTAAGTATTTTTATTTCATTAAAAAAATGACATTTCGTTGCTAAAATTTTGCTTTTGAGTGGATTTTTAGTCAGTTTTTTTAATTTTTTCGTGAATTTTTTATGTTTTACCACTACTTTTCATTTCTAGTTAATTGGTAGTGTTAAAGCATTTTAATCCTCCAGTTTAACTGAATTAATCTTTAGATATTTTCATATTATATTTTAGTATATTTTAGTTTTTTATTATTTTTTGATATTTAGTTTTCATTTTAGATATCCTTGTTTCGAAAATATCAATCCAATGGATCTACACGAATCACCAGTGACATTTCTCAGATATTATTCTGATTGTCCATTAGATGTAATTGGTGCGTTAACTTTGGTTGGCTGTAAACAAAGGCGTCAAGGGTATAGCGAGAAGGTTAAAATTTAAAGAATTTTTTATTCCTTGCAGTCATAGGTCATTCTTTCATTTTTTTCGTAAATAGTCGCATTTTATATACACAAATGATTATTAAATAATATTTCAAAAGATATGATCTTCCTATTTTTATTTCTTTATTAAGTTATAATATTTCATCTCAGTATAATGTCCAAACAGTATCCGAGTAATAAATATTACTTATTCGTTTTTAAACGTTTCGGTTAAACATATAATATTCTCAAGCTAAGATATCATAGAAAATAAAAACTTCTTATAAGTAAAGCGATATTTTCAAATTCTAATGATGCTAATCCTAATTTAAAGATTTTTCAAGTAATACTGGAAAGTTAGTAAATGATGAAGGGATGTCATTTCACTCCTCGAATTATAGCACAGTTAGACTTGAATAAAGTCTTGCCTTTATTGAAAGCATTCTTGAGATAAGATATTTAGGGCTGATTTGAAGTGAAAAGCAGGAAAACTTTTTCATCAAGTTATTAAAAATAAGTCGATTAAATAAGTCGCGATGAAATATTATAATTTAGTATAATAAAAATAATGGAAATAAGAAAAAATCGTATCATCAGATTAGATGCTATGGAGAAAACAAATATCGAATGATTTTTTGTAATTTTTCTGGAATTTAGCTCAACAATGAAATTTTTTCGAAATTTTCAGTTTTTTTAATGAAAAATTTTTTAGCCTTGGCCGATCAGTGGTGGTACTAGTAGGGAATGTGCTTCGAGCCATCAAGAACTTCTGCTTACTGGGTTTTCTTTCATAGTAGATTAATTTTTCTGTTTTTCTGTTTTTATTTAATTTATTGATATTCTTTATTTTCAGCCATGAAGATGGTTCCGTGAAATTTTGGCAAACTACAGGCGAAAATCTTCAAGTTTTATACAAGCTAAAATCCGGACGCCATTTTGAGCGTAGCGGTGCTGGTAACCATGAATTTTCAAATGCTGTTGTTAATATCGAATTGTGTCTAGAATCGCGTTTATTGCTAATTGGTGGACAAAGTGGACAAGTCACACTCTTTCATTTTGTAAAAACGGAAAGCGCTCATGAAATAGCGGTGAGAAATTTGAAAGATTTGAAAGATTTAACCGACCCTTTTGTTTTTTCTTTGCTTGATTTTTTAAATGTTATTTGATTTTTAACTTTAATTGTTTGATTTATTTATAAAGAAAAACTATAATCTTTGTTCAAATTATTAAATATTATTAAATTATTAAAGCTGTTAGAAACAAATATTATTTATTAAGACAAAAAACCAGAATGTTTTTTTTAATGGGCTCATATTCTTTTTCGGTTATATATTTGCAGGTGATTCATATCCCTTCTAGTAATGTCAGTCTTTATGATGAGGAACCACACTGTTTTTCAAATTCCGTTAAAGAATTGAGGCGGCAGGGAAAAGCCATTTCACAGGAATCAAGCTATAGTACAGATACAAGCGAAGGAAGCAATTACAGCGATTATTTTCCACTGAAAGTTCGTGGTGGTGCTCTAAGGAGGCCTGCTGGATATCAGGTTTTTTATCTGCCTGCAAAATTTATATTTTTCAGCAAATTTTAATTTGACATTTACGATTATGAGATGGATTAAGTTGAAAAAATCGCCAAATTTAACTTTTTAAATTTTACTTAATCATTGTTTTCCTCCAGGTTTTGAGCTGTTTATTTCAAGAAACAGTTTCATATTTTTTATAGTATTTCACTATATCATATTTTCTTCTTTAGCCGGAATTAGTTTGTTTGATTCCATGGAGAAATAGTGCCCAATCGGAGGTTATTACTTCATTGGCTTTGAATTCAGTATATGGCATCATTGCAATAGGTATTTTTTTAAATTTTAACATTAGTTTCATCAGTTTTCATTTTATCTTCATCCACTGTTCGCATGCTTAAGTTACATAAAAACCTGGAAAAACCTGAAGAATTCAGTTCCAAAGATTTTCCATCTCCACTTTCCAAATTACTGTGCTTTTATATTTGGTTTTATTAATAAATTTTCTCAATTTTTATTTAAATTTTCAATTAATGATTTCTGCAATCTATTTCTTCGACAATTCGATTTCTCTTGCTATACCTGAATATGCATCGATTACATATTATTTTGGTCCATCATTTACCACATTAATTAATAAGAACTTTGAGATGGAGACAAGATAATCGAGTATTGCTTTGATTATAGTCATGGGGTCAATTTCTATCTTTTGATGGTCGTAAATTATTAGAAGTTATAAATTTTAAATTCTTAATTCGAGTTGAGCTAGGTACCCATGTCTTTATCTCCAAATGTTGTCTGGTGAAAGAATCTCACCTTCAACAGTCAGTGGAGACAGGCAAATCAAAAATGAGTACTATTAGATGAGATGACGAAGACGAAAAATGGAAGTGGAAGAATGTGACTAAATATTAGTTGAAATAAGATAAGATGAAATTAGTTTTCCTGTTAACTTTTTAATTTAATTAATCAATTTTTAATGTATATTTGAAATATATGTCCAGGTAATTATCTGTTAATAAATGAAAAATTATAGCTGATATCTTTTCATTTGTTTTTCAGGATCATCTTTCGGACTTTCTTTAGTTGATATAGTGCAATGCACCTTGATATCATCATGGTCTAGCTTTAATCTTTACAACTGGTGTTCAGGATCCGGTTTAAACGTGATTCCGAATAATGATTTAATTGTTTGTTTTTTCTTTGTTATATATTATAAAACCGTCGTTTAGGTGTGGTGTTTTGGTCGATTAGAAAAATAAGATGAAATTAGTTTTCCTGTTAGCTTTTTAATTTATTAATTATTGTTATTATATATTATTCTTAGTTTTAAAAAACAATATTTTGGGTTTTTAATCGATTTTTCTTTCATCATTCTATAAATCATCTATATCATTCTATAAATGCCAAATTCCATATTTCTATGTTTTATATTTTTTTATAATTTTTCTGTCATTACGGCTTTTAAATTTATTTTATTTGAATTACAAAAGTGTAGCAGATTTTCTAAACATTGAGTGAAAATGAATGAAATGAGAGAAGCATAAAAATCAAAAATCAAAGAATTTATGGAATTTGGCATTTTTTTGAATCAATTTTGAAAAAAATATTTGATTATTTATCCCACAGTATTAGAAAAAGTTATCGGGATTTGGATTTTTTAAAAATGCTTTTAGCAAATAACTGAATAGTATTAGATTTTAAATTCATATTTCTGATCTTTCCTTTATCTCTTATATAACAAAAAATTTTTATTCGATTCAGTTTGAAGTAAGGTTTGAGAATTGTCAAGCCTTTTCTAAGAGCTTTCACCATTGGTTAAGCTCGCTTGGCTAGCTTGGAACAAGATAGATTTTGCCACGGAGTCATTTAACGATTGAAGTACATGTGAACTACCAACATCACTTTGATTTTTGGAAGTCATTTTTATTTCTGTCTGGCTCAAAATAGCAACCCACTGAGCCATTCTGTTTCCAAGCGCTGATCATACTTCGATTTTTTTTTTTTTTGTTTCTTGTTCATTTTCTTCTTTCTTCAAGAGATTCAAAATTTTCAATATGAAAATTTGTGGTTGGTTTTTTTCACTTTTCATGTTTAATTTTTTTTTAATTTTACTATTGCTTTGCATGAATTTTCGCATATAAAGGAAGGAAAACTTATTTCGATTTTTTCATTATATAAATTTGATTGATTGACTGTTCATTTAGATATGTCAGTTATGAAATGTATTTGGGACATTGCTTTTGAAAAAAATCGTCGCTTTTTTTCTGGCAGTTTTTGTATTTCCAACAAAAGTTATTGTGATTTTTGTGGTGCCTTAAATTTTTTGCTTGAAAATGCTGTTTGTTTTTTTCTTTCGTATATTTTAATTTTGATTTGGATTATGTTTTTCATTTGTTCAGGTTAGTGAGTTAAGAAAGAATCGAACGAGAAGAATTGCAAAACGTTTTACTATTGCTAGTCAACCACAAAATTTACGAAAATGTCAACAAAATGTTGATGATGATGAAGAATCGGATGATCCTTCTAAACAGGTTTCTTTTCTTCGACGACATTATAGTGATGTAGCTGATACAGCTAAACGGCAGCTAACGCGAGTTGCATCGATGAATACGAGGTTATTCGTACTTTCCGAAAATTTATCGTCAGATCAGAAATTAAAGGTAATCATGATTTTTTTTTGCATGGTAGGGTTATCATCCTTGGATAAAACTTCTTATTGCTCAAAAAATGAAATGCTCGCATCGAAATCCACGTCTTTTACAAAGGCAATAATAATTATCGATGGTCATGATTAACTACTGTTTGTGATTGCTCTTTTTGTGTGGTTTGCTGAATTTTTTTATTTATTTTGCATGAATGCTGTTGATGTTGAATGAATCATATATTTTTATTTCCTTATTTCAAAAAAAAAAAAGATTTTTACAAAATATTTCGAGTTTTTTAAACTTATTTTTCATTTGTTCTTTTCTTGTAAACTGAGATTTAATTCTTCATTTTTGATTTTTAAGTCGTAATTTATCCAGATTTTGTTTTTTTTTAGTGATTCATTTTCATTTTTCTTATCATTTAATATATTTTTGCTCAACTGAAATAACTCTATTAAAGTAAATACCTTAAAAAATGTCTTATATTGAGATTTTTTATTTTACAATTGCTGGAAGTATCGAATTATTTGCTGCCTTATTTATGTTTCTTAATTTCGAGTTTTAAGGCACAAATTTCACCATGCACAACAAAATCGTTCTCTCGGCTGAATACTGACTTTCCACCAAGATCAAATGATAGGCATCCGATTTTATCCAAAGCACATTCCGCTATTGAATCTCCCTATCCTCCGAATAATGGTTAATGTTCAAAAATTAAAAATTTCTATTACTGCTATTTTAAAGTGTGGAATTTCTTGAAAATTTTAAATTTGAGTTCATTCTGGATTGCAATTTGTTTATTTATGCAGAATTTGTACGAACTGGGTCGAAGAGTGATTCCAAAGAATGCATTTCTTCTCATGATTCAAGATGTTCGAGTCCGTCTAGTCAAGACAAAATGCCATTGACAGAAGCTGTCACTTCATTATTTTTCATACAGTCTTCTCTGAAAAAGAATGGTCATTGCTTTTATTTATTTATTTATTGCTTTTATTTATCTTTTGTTTATTTAGCAGGATTTTTTCTATTTTTCAAGTTATTTATCTTTTTTTCCATTAATACGTCTAAATATCAGCTAAATTTTTAAGATTTTTAAATTTTATAGTTTTTATCAGTAATTATAGTAATTTTGCTTTTTTGCTTTATTTTTTATCGTACAGATTCAAAAACTTGTCCTATGTTATGGATTGGTTTTTCAAGCGGTGTTTGTCTTACCCTGAATTTTTTTTTGCCAAATGATCGGATATCATCAACCATAACTGCGATTCCTTATGGTAACTTATTTCTGGTCTTATTAAATCTTTATATTTAGTTGATTTAAATTTATGTTATAGAATATCGGTTTCTTAATTGAGGTTCGGTGCTTCGTTTCAAAGGTCAGATCATCTGTACTGCTTTCTTAGATCAGTCTCTTTGTTTATTATCATCGCCAGCTGAAATGTTTCGCGACAAAGTATTTGATTCCAATTTTATTTGATTTTATTGCTAATGTTCATATTATCGAATAAAGATTGAATAATGCATCTGATGAGAATCATCAACTGTTTTTTATTGACCTTTTTTTTTAAGGATACCGGCTCCAAGGGACCAACAAATGATTTGGATTGTCGTGTCATCGTAAATAAAGTTTTAACAAAATCTAGCTTATCACCGTCTTGTTCCAGTGCTTCAGATTATTTTAAAGAAAATGAATCTTTTCAGGCAAATTTTTTTATCTTACTCTCGTCAGTTTCCTTATGTATTTGTTTCTTAATTTTTTAAAGGATAAATGGAATTTTTCCAAAATGCTTACTTAAAAAAGGCATGTTTCTTTTTGGTCTCATTTTTTTATTATAAACGTTTTTTATTGTTTAAAGGTGGCTGTTGTGATTTCTGAAGAAGAAGTAAGAGTATTATATCTGCCTGCTTATAATCAGCTGTTTTCTCATAAGCCAGAAATTCCATTTGTTAAGGTATTTGCAATCATATTTAGTTATTTTAGTGTGATCATAATTTATTTTTATTTTTTTTCAATTATTGATGTTTGTAGGTGAATGTTTTTTGATGAAAATTTTTATTTGCTTCAGTTCTGGTTTTTATTTATTTCATTTCAGGCAACTTCTTCACATGTTAGCGGGTATCCAATATTGTTTTTACTTAATGCTGCAGGTCAAGTTGTCGTCTTAAGTTTGCCTACATTGAAATCTCTTTTATGTTGTCCTTTATTCAAACAGTCCATTGAACTCGATGATCCGTGAGCGCTGATTAATTATATCTTATTATTTAACATTTAGTTAATCAAATTAATCACTTTATTTATATATTTTTAAATGGATTTTAAAGTTTGCAGATCAAATGATTTTTTATTCTTCTGAGGTTTCCCAAAGTCCCATTGAAGTTTTTTTCATTGGTAAATTCGTAGATGAACATATAATAGCTAATAATTGCCACTTATCGTTAAAATTTTTTATAAAATTTTTTAGTGTTTGTCAAAAGATAAGTCTTTCAAATCATGGTCTGGGAATGTATTTAGTTTATTCATCAGAGGTAATTTTTTTATCGATCAGTTTCATTCGTAAGATCATTTTATTATAAGCAAAAATATTGAAGGTAATTTTTATTACAACTTTATCATTTTATTACAACTTAAACGTTAATTTTGGGTCAGTTTTATTCCAAGATGCACATAACCTTGAATCCATTTACATTTTTATTAACCTCTAATAAAGATTTAGCGTTTCAATTTCAGTTTCACTTTTAGGAAACAGCATTAGGCATGCGTGTGACTTTGAGAGAAATAGATTTGCAGTCACAGAATTAAAATCACAGATTTTTGTCACTGCATTTTTTTTATTAATTTTCTGTTGTTTTTTTTATTCTTTGCATTTAAAATATTAATCAAAGGAATCTGTTGCACAAAAAGGGTTAAGAACCAACGATCTAGATTATTACTAATTGGTTTGTTATATATTGAAATTAGTTTGAACCATTTTCAAGATTCAAAAATTTACTATATCTGCTGAGCTTGCTGCTGAATTACAAGAATGCATTGGCGAGTTATTTATCCCTATGGATTTGCCTGAACCTCAGAAGAATTCATTTTTCAAAGGTGTATCAACATTGTTCGTCAGTCAAAAAGAAAGTGTCGATTTGGATTCTATATGTAAGCAGTTTAAAAGAAATTAAAATTTAAAATTTTCGAAAAAGAGAAATTCTTATCTTAATTAATGGGTTTTATTGTGGATAATGTAAATGAAGATAACCTTCATTTATTGTATCGATGCTAAAACTTTAATTTTTTTTTAGCACTCAGCTTTTTAAATAAAAGAAAAATCTAAATTTAATCATCCAAATTATGTTTATTCTTGTTTTAGTCGCTGATAAAAGTACGGGAGTCCCATCGAATAGTGGAATGCGATCAGTGGGTAGAACTATTTTAGGCCCTTCTGCAAATATGGAGCAAGTCACTTCAAGAAATGTAACAGCTGGGCAGGCTGCTAATCTTGCACTTCAGGTAATATTGCAGCTCTTTTTGACATTTTTGTATTTTTATTCTCAAATTCTTTTTCAGACTTTGCATGAACGTGGCGAAAAACTTGGTGCTACTGTTGATGCAACCGAGCGCTTGAAAGATACTGCAGTGAGTTTGTCTCAAAAAACTGGAAAATTGGTTGAGAAGTACGAGAAAAAAAAATGGTATAATTTTTGATGGAAAATCGTTAAATTTAGGTTTTTTTTCGATTTCATACTTTGCAATAATAGAATTGTTTTTATTCATACCCATTTTTTGAATTTTCTGATTTATACGATGCATATTTCTGTTTTTATGGAATCCCAGTCATTGTTCAAGATATCTTTAATTTGGGGGACATTTGTGCTGAAATAGTAATAGTGTATATAGCCTCTTCTTATTTTTTATATTATTATTATTATAACCAAATTAATTGTTTTATCTTACTATCGATTTAGCCTTGCATATGAAATATTTTAATATACTGATGAAAATAGAATTTGTATAAAGCATTTACAATTTAAATATTAGATTGGCGCTAGGATGCAACATATCGAAATGGATTCACTAAAATTCTTTCGGGAATTGCATATCCCGACTTTATCTATTTTTTTTCCATTAATGAAAATCGCTGTTTATAAATAATATTGTCTTTTGGATATTTTAAAATTTTAGTTTATTTAACGGGCGCTTTTATATGTGTTTCAGTATTTCTATTTCTATTCATACCTTACAATTTATCCGTTTTTTTTGGTATTTTTAGGAATGCACAATAGTCAAAATATTGTATAATAAATTATTCTGGCAACTTGCTGAAGCAGAGTTTTCGTTTTTTTTCATTAATTCCGTTTCGTTCAATAAATTGAATTTGATTGATCGAAGTGGTGAGCGCATTCCACTTTTTATATGTAATAATTTATACATTTCAGTTATTTTCCATGCTTTTTCTTTTTTCAAAAATGTTTTTACATTAGGAAGTCAACAAATAATACAAAATTTTTCGAGCTTCATTAATCAAAAAAAAATTTGAAGGTAATTAAAATGAATGAATTGATAATTGATTTTACATTCCTATTGCGCAGATTTTCATTTCGAATACATTAAATGGAATTTAATTAAACAATTAACTAACAAATTAATGTAAATATTAATTAATTAATATAATAAATAATAATTGTAAAAATTTTTTAATTGGATTTTTTACTGAATCGTATTATTTACTATTTTTTCGTTTTAAATCTGAAACTTATATGAAAAAATTTACATTTATTTAAACATGTTTTAATTATTAACTTTTTAAAAATAAAAATATTTGAAATAGAGCAAATAAATCGCATAGAAATGAGAAAAAATCTTGATGAAAATCAAACTTCGTAGTAAATTAAAGATTTATCGGGGTTATATTGCAAAGTTATATTAAATTGTATAAAACACAAATTATAAAGAAATGGAAAATATTTTCGAGGATTTCGCAGTTACTTCGCGCTGCGTATTGTCCTTCCTGAGCCTTGAAAAGGAATTACGCCATTCTTCTTACTATCACTTCCATTTAATTCTTTCTCCATAAATGAGCGATTTTTATAGTCATACCTTAAATATATTTAGCGAAATTGATCTTTAACATGGAAGTAGCATAGAAAAACAATAAATTTTATAACCAGTTTTTTAAATATAGCACTTCATGAAAAAATAACGAGGAACAATGAAAAGCAAGACATTAAGATATCTAATGAATTATTCGTAAAAATTCGACAACGACCTCATGAAAGTTAATTTTCCGGGTTTGTATTCAGTTTCAACGATTAATGGAGGCAAACTATTTTCCATTGACTCGAGATCTGCGAATGAAGAATTCTGTGACGATTTTGTTTTGCCGTCAAGTCGATAACCATTTCCCGGAAATGCAAATGAACCCGTATTATTTTGAATCGCAATGCCACAATCATTTTGTAAAACGTTCTGCAAAATAATTATTTAAAATATTATTTAACAAAATATTCGAAGCAAATTCAATTTTTAAAATTTATTTTTTTTTAATATTTCTTTAAAATGTTTTGCCGATTACGCTTGTCGATATTATGCTAAAAATAATAGTCCGAACATATTCAAATTAAAAAATATATAATGTTCATAAATACAAAAATAATTCCATGATTTTAAAAAATTATTTTTAGAAAAAAAAATCATTCAACGTTTAAATTTTTATTTGATGAAGAAATCGAATTTTCTTCGACGTATCCCTCAGGCGCATCGAATTCAACATTCATATCACATTCAATAATATTAACTGCATTACCTGGTCGCACATCAAGAACCAGAAATTCTAGCAGCTGCTCGTTATACTTAAAAAATTTAAAAATTTAATTAATCTGTTGCTATCGAATGAAAAAATTTAACTTTTAGATCGAACTTAAACAATCGAAATGAAAGTGTAAGCCATATCTTTGTGATTATAATGAGAAAGACGACTTGATCAATCTATTTTTGTGCTCCCTATAACTGGAAAAAAGAGAAAATATTCTAATTTGATTAATTTAAAATTTTAACCTAGCAGTAATAAACATCTTAATAAACATGGAAAAAAAGGGATGATACAAATGTTCATCGTCTAAAATTTCAAATACCGCTTGCAAACTACCAGCAAAATCAAGAAAATAATATTATTCGATCATAAAATCTAACATTAACAGCAATAATATCGCCTTTCGTAAGACAAGCAAATTTCCGCAATTCAACCTCAAGAACAGCTCGAGGATTGGAAATTGACAGAAAATCAGTCGACTGCGGTTTAAACTTTGCATAAGATGCTTGCGGAAGTGAGACGTACTTTACTATAACGCAATCTCCTTCTTTCAACTGTAGTTGTCTCATAATCTGTGTTATGAATCAGATATAACTTTGCAAAAGAATAAAAAGAATTCAAAAAAAGATTCCGTGTATCTTAAAATATTAACGAAAGACCAATAAATCTTACCCAAGATGGCAAATAGCAGCGACCTTCTTCCGCCAGAAATTCCAGAACTCCACAATGTGTTTCATGTTCAGGATTTTTCACATTCGTTAATTTGAACATCATTGGATAACTAATATTATATCGAACGAGTAAATCGAGTGCTGACGGCGGTAATAGAATCTAAAATTAATAAAAACTGTTTATACATGCATGAATTAAAAATTCTCGTCTTTCTTGAATTGAATCCCAGTACTCCAAGAATACTCTAAGAAAAATATAAAAAAATGTTCAAGAATCTCATTTATTTAAACATTTATTTAATATAAGTTATATATATATATATATTAAATTATATATATATATTAAATGTAAATATATATTTAAGAGAAAATTAAATTAGATTAAATTTATTCATTCCTTAATGAATGTTTAATTCCAGAGCACTTCAATAACTCTAAAAGTACAGTTTGCTCAACGGACTTATGGTCAATGCAGAAAGAAAAAATATGGGAATATACATGGAAAGGTTAGTTAGATTAGTAAGAATAAACATACTCAAATTTATGAAAGAAAAAACAATTAAACCTACCTTTCCTCCATGATTTACATCATTAATCTTCTTAGAATCAGCTCGTTCGAAAAAAGGAGCTGAAAAGCAGCGCAGTTGCAGTCGAAATTGTTGAGATGACGAATGGCCGAACATCAGTGAACCCAAACTGTCAAACATTTCTTAAAACTATAATTTCTGCAAATTTCAAATATAAATTTTTTGATGAATTAGAACTGAACAATTTAAACGGAAATAATAGTTCTTATTACGACAAAGGCTGCAGCCAAAAAAAAAAATTTTCTACTGATTTGAACAAAACATTATTAATTAAACTTTAAATTAATTAATGAATTAATTAAATTAAATCGAATAAACTCGATCATCTTCAGTAAAATCGAACTAAGGGCAGGAAGATGGTCGACTGGAATCACCAAAGGTTTCTTCTCCCTTGATAAGGACAATCAGCAATGATAAAGTCTGTGATGCCGAAGACCCATCTGTGCTTCTATTTCTAAAAGATTTTTTGACGCAGCAATCACATTATAATAATACAATTAGCCAAACCAGAAATAATAAGTACTATTTAAGGAAGAAAGATTATGCAAATGAAAAGTGAAACAAAAATTTGACATCGAAAATTTTAAAAATTACTAAACTGCAAATAATGAATTACATTTTATTCCACTGCATTTGAAATATCAAACGAAAAAAAAATTAGAAAAAGGTTTAAAAAAATTTTTGAAAGGTTCAGATATGTAATATGTAATATATAATATTAGAAAGAAAAGCACAACACGCAAACCTTTCGTAGCTGCCTGGATAACCTACACGACACCTCCACGTTGAGAACTTTACGTGCCATTCAATGTAGGAAAAATAATAACGCGACTACTCTCCACTAATTTTAGCACGAGCTACCGATATCTTATTTTCCTTTCAAAACTCCGTTCTCAAACTTAATAGCTACGAACCAATCCGAGAATATAACATTGCAACATTCACACATTATTGAGAAAGGTTATACATAATTCCTAAATTGAATAGCAAAAATAGCAACAGTGCAAATCTAATGGTATTTGAATCCACAACTTTTGGAATCGATGTGCAATATTTAATAACAATAATAATCATTTTTAATTCTAATAAAATGAACTATTAGAATCGATTTTTAAAGAAGAAATGCAGTTTTCTAACAAATTATTCGGATTTTTTCTTCTACTGAAAGTTTCCATCTTAAATGCCTTCTCGTTGCGAAAAAAATATTACATTAATAAACACTAAATGGACAACAAACGTTTAAATTACAATTAAATAATTTTATAAACAAAAGGATTCCAATTTAGATCCTATAAAATGTTATTATACAGGCAAATTCGCATCGCAAATTTCTTCCATTGCAAATGAATCAAACGCACGTTCGTCATCACTTTCAGAATTTTTCTGCATATCACTGATTTGCTTAATCGCCTTTGCCACGTTCACTGTTGGCACTGAAAATTAAATTAACAAAATGAGCAAATGAATAACTTTCACTATAACGAGTTCGAGCAATTTGTAGAAGAAAAAGGTTTAGGGAGAAGTAAAAGAATATTTCAAAAAAACTTCAAACTTCAAATTTCACGAGATCTGTGGAAATAATGTAAAATTTATCCTAAAATTTTAACAATTCGAACAAGTAAATCATCGATAAATCGATATAATAATTTTAACCAAAAAACGATTTTATTTTCGATCGTTCTTTCCATTTGACTACAAAAATTGAAAAATAAAACTTACAATGCCCAAGGCCTTGTAGAAATAATAAAATGGCCTGAGTTACATTTTGCGGCTTATCGTCTAACACGAGGCCACATGAATCAGAAATCTTCAAAAATTCTTTTGTTATAAAGCTATGATTCTATAGGCGAAATTCATTCGATTTAAGCAGTGATTGACATTTTTTATCATTGATTTGCTTAATAATGAAAAAATGGAATGTGGAAGTAATTCAATTACTTCTTATAGTTCTTCAAATCTTTTATTTTAATAACCACTGTTGAAGAGATCTAAAAAAGCACGGACTAAAAGAACTGCTTTTCTAATGGAAACTAAAACTATACCTTTATCCACTCAGATGTGGCGGGATCTAGCCGACTGTTAACCTCAACTGTATCATCAACGAAACCAGATGCAGACCCCACCATCTGCAAAACTGGCACATTCAAATGAGGACCATTCGAGTGGTTACGTGAAAACACCAGTGGAGACCGACTGAAAAAAAGACAACCAACAAAATAAATCAAATTATTTGATGTAAACAAAAGAAAAATTCAATGAATAAACAATATACATACTTAATATACGTCTCAATAAATGAAGCAAGATTAGCTGGATTTGATAAACGTTGGAAATATGTTCGATATTGTCTAATCATATTTGCATTATTACACTCATCAGTCTGCTTACCGAAATGATGCCACATTAAATAATCGATAGTAAACGATGTCATTCCAACCGAACGCAAATATTTTATGTTTACCTTTAAATAAATTTAACACATGAAGTATAAATTTTTAATAGTGCAATGCAATATTCGCCAAAGAGTGAAAAAATTGCAGCATGCAAAAAAAAATTTATCCATACTTTTTCATAACTCCATTCAACCCAACCACATGAAGTACCAACACAATTGATTAAAACCAAAGCATCAACATTTTCTTGCTTTTTCAACTAAAGTTTAATCGAAATATAGAAGAAAATTTTCACAAGATTTTTTCTTTTATCTTATGAATTAATAGTTTCAATTAATAATTTAAAATATGAATCATATAATTTAAACTGAAAAGAGAAATGAATTAACTGCATATCTCAACATAACATTCGCACCAACACCGACTCCAATACCAGTGAACGATTTCAATCTAAATAAAGTTTTAAAATATACACTATTAAAAAGCTGGATATTTGCTATCTGGAAACAATTTCAATGCGATAAAGGAAAAAAGGAAAAAAAATACGATAAAAGAAAAAAAAATATTAATTTCTGATTTGCATATATTAGATGTCTCAACTAATATTTAATTTAGATTTATAAGATTTAAGTGTGCTAAAAATCAGAAGAATAAAACTATAAAAATATGGCCATCTTGAATGCAAAGAAAATTATGATTCTATTTCAGCACAATTTAGTTTGAAACGATGGACTTACTTAAATCTGCCTGTAAAATAAAAAAAATAGATTAAAGATTCAAGACTTATTTCATTTAATTATCGGAAATATCCATATGATATAGTTTTTGCTTTTTATATGCCCAATTTTTAAAAAATAACCCATACAATTATTTTTAACTTAATTTATACTTGGATTTAATTTTGGATTTAATTATATTAATATTCCATTCATAATAATCTATCATTGAAGTTTAATTTTATTAATAAAATGATATAAGTACATTAACGATGCCCATATATTCTACTTCTTTTGCAGAAAAAAAATAAAAAATACCCAAAATGATCGATACATGATTGAACTATTTCTGCTAACCCATCCATTGAAGGATATATATAACTGAAAAGGATTTTATAACTGAAAATTTAAAAAAAAATTCTTATTAAATCTAATAGAATAAGCAATAATTATTAAGTGAAAATTTTGATGAAACAGTTCGCAAAAAAGTGTTCAAATTCCTTATAAATTTTCTCACAAAGTTATATTCTGAAAAAACAATCGCATAAAAACACAAAGCAATCATTCAGTAAATTCTAAAATATCGTCTATGTTTAAAAAAAAATAAATACTTTTCAGGAAGAGAAAGAGCATCAATTTCTTGACCGGGTGCATTGATGTTGTAAATGCAGAATTTCTCCAAAAACAAGCCACCTGATCCGAACAAAAAGAAATTTTGGAATGTTGTTTCAGCTCAAAAAAATGTGGTCCAAATATATAATAAATATACAATTAAAATAAAAATTTTGAAATTCGTAGATTAATACAAGTCAGAAAATTTTTAGATTATTTGATTTGTAATAATTGAATATACAAATAGTTTAATCACACGTTTGATTTTGCTAATTCTTACCACATATATTCATTTATAAGCCAAATATTTTAGCTGATTTAATGATTCTGAACCTACAATCCATAATGAAGTCATGTCGCCCTCACCGTTTCTCCACAGCATTCATATTAAATTAATCAGTCTTTACTAAGAAACAATAGAGAATTATCAATTATTATTGAATGTTTCTTACAATGTAGCAACGAATACAGCGTAAGTACATTACAGTGTTAAAGCAACAACAAAAACGAAAAATGAACCTATTTTTAAAAAATGACTTATAAGATAAAACGACAAGAATCTTCTTCAAACTGTAATCATGCAATATTCAAAAAACAATAACAAACTCGGAATTCTTTATAAGTAAATATATACATCCATCATACTAGAAAAATCTTTATAAAAATTAAGAAAAAAAACTTACAGTCAATGCCAAGATCGTGAAAAGTAACAATCGGAAGATTCTTTCGATCACCATAAATCGACACTTTCACATTTCCATAAGCTGTTGGTAATTTTTCCTACAATCAATTAATAAACTACAGAACTTCCACAAGTTGAGAAATTGAAAAATTCAAAAAAAAAAAATAAATCTCAACATTTATCAGCAAACTATTTCCTTTAATTGTTTTTACCTCGAACTGTAAGTCCCGCAATGATCCAATGGGTCGAATAATAAATGAAGGCACAGTACACCAAATTTCCATATTTTTTTAGATCATATTGGAATAATTTTAAAATAATTTTATATTTGAAATGATATACAATAATCAAGAGGCAATTTTTTTTACTAGAATTGGGCAATTTTTCTTTTTCTCAAATTCTTCCCGCTATAAAAAAACTTTTTGCGGAAATTCGGACCTATCAGTTGCTACATTAATTGACATTTCGCGACTTTTTTTGTTGAAATATTTAAATGAACAATCAAGTAAAACAATTTTTGTAAATGATAACATATTAATACATCCTTCATTATTTTCAAAAGATGATAACAAAAAAAAGAATGCATTCGTTTGATTTTATTTATTTTATGCATATTATCGCGCCTCTGAAATTTACTCCTAGAAATATAGACTTATTTGAAAAGAAAAACAAAGCAAGGAGAAAAATAAATAAATAAATAAGGAATCATATCAAATTAGAGGCAAATACTCATAAAAAAAGTAATTAATTCCGAAATCTCGAAAATTTTGAGGAAAATTTTCGTACAAAAGTTTTATAAAAAATGATACAAAATAGCGCACGAATTTTGCGACGAGTGTGCCAAAGTAGAGTAAAAATTTCCAACAAAATGACTTGAAGATTTCCCGAAAAAACGGAGAAAAGTTAGCTGATAGAATGAAACAACGAGCGAGCGGTCTACCTGCATGTTGATGACGTTTTACGTTGATGTCGACGCTACTGGACAAATATTCGTATCGAGTGCAATAATTTTGCAATGTGAACGAAAATTAAAGCCAAATAAATGAGCAAAAATAAAAAGAATTCAGAAGAACATTAGGGAAGAATTTTAATATCAAAGGTCAATTGCAGATTTGCATGAAATCATTACAACTTAATACGCAAAATTTTATACTCAAATTTAGAACATAAATGAATTGTATCTCCAGCAATATCAAAGATAAAAACTTGGCGATTATTCAGTCCACAGCCATTCCCGGAAAAGCAGAAAATGCTTGCGATTACGAAACTATAAATTCCGTAGAAAATAAGAGTGCTATCAGTGTTATCGGACTGATAACCGAGAAGCACAGAGTGGTAAAAGTAAAATATTATTAATTTGAACTGTTTCAGAAAGACATTTTGCATAAATTCGCATTGGAACTGGAAGTAGAAAAACAAACCTCCAAATCGACATTTTGAACCATTAAAGGGACAGCATCCGTGTGAAGGACGCTCATATTTCGTGCGAAAATCATGGAAGTAAAATTATGCAAAGCATGTTCAGTACTGAAGAGAGAAACGCGGCCTTAGCTTCCTGTCTTGAAATCCGCGGTACTTTGGATGTCTAAGCTCTGTCATATCATTTCATTCATTTGGCAGCTCACCTAATTTTTCGCACTTTCAATCTTGTCGCATCTCTGGATTTTTAAAACCGAAAATAATATAGTCAACGCGACACGAATGCGGTACTGTTCAAATGTGAAACAGCTGGTGATACTTGTCGATTATACGGTACCCATGGTACCCATGGAATGCAGCATGAAATGAGAGGATGGATGATCACTAAATTCCTCACTTTTGAGATATCCTACTATGCTAAAGCAGAGTTACCCCAGGTGAGAACTTGTTGAATTTCTTTAAGATTATGCCATTCCCATGAGTGAAATTGGTGCTAATGAATTGTAGAAGTAGAAATTGTACGGTGGTGTAGGTGGGTCCAGGTAACCGGCAAAGATCCGAAAGGCCAAATAAACCAAGAATGTTCCTTCGTTCAGGATGATTATTATAATGAATAAAAATAAGACGATGAGAAATTGGAAAATCTGGAAAAACTAGGTAAAAGGAAAATGAAATGAAATGAATCTGCGTCAAATGTAGGAAATAAAGCCCATTCGGTGACAAATCGATGATGATGTTGGTTTTAAAACATCTGACAATAGATAGGCGAACAGTTTGATAAAGATTATTGTTTGTTCGATTTTTGATTGTATTTCGCACAATCCTCATCAAAACAATTCAATTTTCCGGATAATTAAACAATGATTGAAAATTCCATCGCAAATCCATTTATTCTTTTTTTCGACCTCAGTTTGCGCTATTAAACTTTCATTTATGGAATTTCGAGATTTTGACTGAATAATTCAAAATTTTCCAATTGTTCTAATTTAAAACTAAAAATTTATAGCTCAGTAGGTATACTGCACTCATTTTGCGATGCGGGAGTTCTATTTTCGGAAAGAGTAAATCTGTGAAAAATCTGAGTGTTGCTGCCAATGAATAAGTTTCGCCAAGTAACTTCCTGAAGTAAATTTATTTGACAAGCCAAGGGAGGGAGCAAGCCAAATTAGGAATAGTGAGAGCCCTTTAAAAAACATTTACTACACCTGGATTAATGAAAATAAATAAGTGATCACTGTTTCTGGTTAAGACCATTCTGTTAACTGTTAATGTGACTAGAAATTTTTAGAAAGAACACTGATGAAATGACACGATGTCCAAGAAACATTAATTGATATAACAATAACAACAATATAAAATAGGACAAAAGATATAATTTAAATCAAAACCGAAACAAATAGAAAACGATCGCATAAATAGTAAAAATATTTAATAAAAAGAGCAATAATAAAATAATAATTAAAATAATAATAAATAATAATAAAATAATAATAATAAATAATAACAGTAATAATAATATGTAATATGTAACAATAATAAATAACATTAAAGAATAAATCAAATGATAAATAATAATAATATGTAATATTAATAGATAATATTAATGAATAAAAATAAATATAATCGTAAAGAAATAAATAATTGTCGCTTAAAGTATCAGAAATGTTTCCGTAGGCAAGAATGATAAAAATAATCGCAAAGTATACGAAGCGTTTCTCTTATCATTCATTTATTCATTCTTCATTCATTCATTCATTCGTTCGATATGGAAATGAGCGATAAACAGAAAACGAAGAAGCAGTGATGAGAAATACATATGAAAACTGAAAACAAATAGATAAAGAAATAGAATAGAGTGCGTCACCATTTTTAAAAATTCATGCGTTAAGGGTTTAAGGTGAAAAAATTGCAAAAAAATAATTTGTTCTTTACTTTTTTTGAACAAATAATTTAATTGAAAAATGATGAATTTAAACTGTATATTTAGGATCCAATTTTATTATGCCATTCCTTTATCCTATTTGCTTTTATGTTTAAGCAAAACAATGAAAAAGAATTTCGAAAAGAATTAAAGTGCTGATAAGTGTGGATGTAACATTTGGCTGGATCGATAGCGCCCGTTTATCACAAAAAGTATCGTAAAATTAATAAACGAGTGAAGCTGGGCACCCATTTTTTCGATAAAGCTTGGTTATAAGCTTGTTTTAGCAAAAAACTTATATATTGATTGTGACAGAAAAATAAATATATTTTAATTAAAGGCGAATTTGAAGGTGATTTTTGGATATTTTGTTACCCACGAATTTAAAATTAATTTAATCCATGAAGACGATCATCTCTTTTTCTTCTAACAACATCTTGGTGATAGAAATACGGATTAGTCGACAGCACAATGCAGGTTTTTAGGAAAAGGTTTATTCCCGCCAGAGGAAACGAGACTTATGATGATGGTGGACAATTCTAATTTTTGCAAATATCTGCATAGAAAGATTATTTTTTTCTGTACATGGCGCATCAACCGGGAACACTCATTGCTTAATTTCGAAGAAATAAAAATTTAATCAATTATTGATCGATTATTGGTCGATCATTGATCGATATCATTTATTTTTATCGAGGAAGGAATAATTAAGAAAAGAAAAAGAAATATCAACAGTCAGGAAGGATCGATATTCACGGAAGTTTTATCGATTTAAAATTTTTTTTTGAATTTTTGTAGAAGCTTCTGTAATTTTCGATTTTAAAGTCGTCATTGTTTATAAGTTTATTGATTTGTTCTTAATAATTTCTTTGTTTTGCTGTGACCTAACATTGTCGAAAAGTTCTCATTATTGAAATTGAGAATTGACCCCTACGCAACGGAATTAATTGAATGTTTAAATAAAGTATAAGGTTTCAAGGCCTTTATAAATTGAAACCAGTCACAAATAGAACTTGCGTGTTAGTAATGGAATAAAAGAATGGAGGCACTAATAAATGACCCTCTCAGTGCCAGTAGAGATGTTGATATAGAAGAATATAAATTGAGCAGCTAGCCCTGAATACTTGCGACTCGTTCAACAGGCACGTAAGGCAACTTCAGATTTGGTTGTCATAATTAGACGTTGCAATAGAAATTTAAGTGACAATAAGGTCACAATAAAAATGGAGAAAACAGAAGTGGAGTTATAGAAACTTCAATCATTAATAAAGCTGCCGAAATTATAATTGATGAAATTCGATGGATCAATAAGGAGTTGGGTCGCATTTAAGGAAAACTTTTTATCGACCATTAGATAGAGAAGTCTTGATCTCAGATACCTCGAAGGAGAAGCGAAAGAATTGGTGGAAGGATTCCCTATGGATGGTGAATCTTACAGGAATGTGTGGGAATTTCTGGAAAGTAAATATGGAGATAAATCCATTATTATTGAAGGACTGTATAAAGAATTGTGAGAATTAAACTCGAAAACAAAGGATATAAAGGATATTCGCAAGGACTTGGAACGAATGTTTCGCCAGTTGATATCTATAGAAGATATCAACAATAATTCGATTTTGAGCACAAGCTAAATTGCCAAGACGAAAGGAAAGGAAGAGCCCCTATTATGCAGAATGATAAGGAGCGATGATAAGGAAAAGGTCATAGGCATAAGACTATAAATAACTTTAAAGAGGAAGATAGTCATGATAGTGAGCAGTCAGAACGTATCGAATCAACCATGATATCGAGTAAATTAGCCGTGAAGAGGAATATTAAGAAATGTATATTTTGTGATCTGTTGGACATGGGAAGCCAACAATCATAAATTTCAGAAACATTACGAGAAAAGTTGCAGTTTGTAGCAAGAGGACAACAAATAATTACTGTATCAAGCTTCTCATC